CAGCAGCACTTAGTGGGTTAGGAAGTCCCATGTTGTCAAAAGCTGCAAACAACACGTCCATGTCAAACTCTGTAAAAGAGATCAGATCCCCTACAGAGGGTGGCTCGGGAATTGCAGGTTGCAGTTCTGGCTCTGGAAGGGATTCAGGCACGGGTGCCATCAACCAATCATCAGTGACTGCCACGTCTGGAAACGTCCCGGATGCTTCACCATCAAGAACTATCAAGTCTGCATAACACAAAATGGACAAACTCGTCACGAGAGAAGCGACAATAAGATCAAGTTGCTGAAAGTAACATTATTAAGAAATAGAAAACATTTTCCGTGTTTCCATCAAGTTATAGGGACATAAGTGAAGTTTGGGAGAACGAGAAAAATTGTGTTGACACGAGCAGCAGTCGAGTGCTTCCACGGCTTTTTAGAGTGTTTATAAAACTCGAAAAGGGTTCCCATGACTCGAAAGTATCACAGGAAAATGTTTCCCAGTTTTTTGACAACACAACCCGAGAAAAATAAAATGAAATCACTCGTATATTTCGATTATGAAAATGCTCGCGCTAACATTTCGTCAGCAGTTCGTGCTAATTGTGCGTTTCTGCCACGACTTAGATTATCTTACCTTCTTCTTCTTTGTCGTCAATGGTAACTACAACTTCATCATCTGCAATAAAAGCAAAATTTGACAATGAAATGGTTATTATGCTACCGAATAATCAGTTTTGAACGGGTGGAATATTGGCGCTACCTGTACGTTAATTGATCTCACCTTCTTCCACGTTGACAGAAGCCGAAAAGTCAGTTAACTTACAGCCCTCTAACAGTTCCTTGCTCTGCTTGGGATTTGTATCTGTGCAAGATGAACAAAACAGGGTGAAACGTTTGAAAAAATATTTTTTACTAGAGATTTTTCTTTTACTGGTGGTAACAAATTTGTTTCTCGGTTGGAATCCTCTTCTGCAGTGTTTTGGCATGGAATGTTGCTAAGCAACATATCATATTCAAGCGGCCATATCAATAATACCCAGTAATCAATAATAAAAATACTAAAGCAGAGGGAAAAGCAACAAATATCAAGCTACCCTCTCGTCCATGAAGTGTTACATCATCTCCATCCACCAACACAACAATCTTCTCAGCACCCTTGCCACGCACCTCAGCCACATTAAAAACAGCATCAATCACCTCTGATATGCGACTGAAGCCGTAGTCTGAAGCCTTGCAGGGTCGACCGTACATCTGTTGGAAGTTGGGTGCAAAGCGGTTCAGCGACACACAACCGTCAAGGTGTTTCAGGAGGTCCCTCGTCTCAATCGCAAAACACTGCAGTGGTGTTAAGAATACTGTGCCTTCTTTCCTGTCCACCTGTTTAAGAGGGAACATTAATGCGAGCTGCAGGATTGTACTTAGAAAAAAAAACAGTAAAAACAAAGCCATACTATCTTTAGAGTGGAACTTCTATGTTCCTTTGAGCTTCTTTACCGTGAATTTCTATGTTTCACTGCAAGGTTTTCAAAACACGCCGCTACCCGACGAAAGTCACCGGCAACTTCAAGCATTTACGCCGGTTTCAGTCATGGGTGCTACAAATGCACCAGACTACAGCTCAAGACCCGCAGATTTTCGTTTTATTTTGTCAGGGCCTGCTCCTTGTACCCCACGCAAGAGGGAGTAACCCACTTTGGCACTCTCCCCCACAATTAGACCACCATCATCTTCACGGAATAAGCTCCACCTACTTTACGACCCCCCCCTCCCCCGCTACTTTATTTCAATTTGAAACCCCTGAAAATCACTCCTTGCAACAAAACGATTGAATTGTTCTGCTTACTTTGACAACAGATGATATCACAGAAAGCAGCTCTTCGAGTGTAGCAAAGCCGAAGTTCTGTGCACGAAGCTTGTGGTTGTAGAGCTTCTCATACGCAGCCACAAACTTGGACACAGGAATAGTCTTGTCGGGCTGCTCAGTTAATACATGAATCACGTGAAGTGAAAACACCTTAACAAGATGTTCATGTTTTAAGCAAATCGCCGCTGTGTTGCCGCTACCCTGGACCTGCAAGAAAACGTTGCAATGTTAAGATCAGTTTACTTCATCGAATTTTTTTTAAACAGTTTTTTTTTTTTTACTTTCTCGAATTGGCAATGTGCGTCTAATTTTCAAGACTGTGAATGAAACCCTAGTCAAGTGCGTGACCATTCAAATGAAAGCTATTGAGCAGTACTTTCATGTGGTACTGTTTCTTACGCTATTAAAGGTGGTTCTAACTTTTAAGTCTGTGAATGAAACCCTAGTGTGTGACCATTCAAATGAAAGCTATTGAGCAGTGCTTTCATGTGGTGAGTACTGTCTTCTACATAGTACATGTACAAGTAAATTTTAACTTTTCATTCTGCGTGAGACCCTAGGCCATCACCAGTCGAATGAGAACTATTGAGCAGCACTTAGAACCGACAAGTGGTTCCGTTTGGTTTAGGATGCTTTACGTTCGAACGCTTTACCAACTGAAATTTGAATCTTGAATTCGAAACAGTCTGTAAAAAAAGCAATCACTATTTTTTACGACGGGAACAGAGCAACAAAAGCAATATCCAAGAACTCTGCCTAACCTCAACAACATCCCCAAGGGCACGGATTAAGGCGTTCATGCCTGTACAGCCCCAGTCCTTCGGCTTCAACACGCGTCCATACTCCCGCAGGAAAATATCAGAGAAAGCGAACTGTGCGACTCGGCATCCGGGATACTTAAGTAACAATGCCGTGATCTTATCAGCAAGGGGTCGTAATGTGGGTGACATTTTATCTGCAAGTAAAGATACACTGTACCAGTTAGGACCGCATGGTAGCGTTATCTGTCACGTTTTCAAAATAGAAATCATGCAACGTTTGTGGGCGATCAAATCACGTTGCTGCTCGTCAAGTGATCACACTCGGATTCAAAGCTAATCATGGTTGCCACAGACATCCCTTTTCAAAATTCCCTGACTTTTCTCTGATAAAAATAATATTTCCCTCACCAAAGAAATGCAAAATGTCAGTTCTAGTAGCGGCTTCTTCTTCCACCCGTTGATTAACAGTGATAATTTTCAACAAATTTTCCTTCTTCATTAAGGAAAAATATAGTAGAGATCACAATGACCCCAAATGTTTCTTCTAGCCTTCAATGGTACCAAATCAGCCGTATTAAATTATTTCAATTTTCCCTGACTTTCTTCAAAATATCAATTCTCCCTGACTCGAAATAAAACTCCCTGACTGTTCGCTGACCTTGAATAATATTTTTCCCTGATCATTTCCTGTGGCAACCCTGCTTATATTTCTCACAACCTTACAACTGTATTATGACCAACCTTTCGCTGGCAAAACAGGAAGAAGAAGAATTCGATCACTACCAGATCCTTTCACCTAATCATTCAAAAACAAATAAATAAACGACTCAAACTCTTTTCTAGGTGAAATAGTTAGGACCTTCAAAAAGTTTCGTTTTATCGTGATCACGGCAATACTCATTAGGTTAATACTCGCAGGCTTTGCCATTCAACATGGCTGGATATTGCTAAAGCTATTTCTTGCGAATTTACACAAAACAAGAGCAAGGACAATATCCAGCCAACTTGAGCGAAAAACTTTGGCAAATAAACGATTTAAAGAACACCATCGCTCTTGCGCGTCACAGAGGGAAATGCCGAGAGGGGTGCATGACCATTCACAGTATAGATCGAGTGAGGCTAAAAAAGGCAAACAAAGGAGCGATAATCTATACCAGTACGGTCCCGAGATAGCCTGGTCAAGAGATTCCAAGGGAATGTTAAGAAAAAAATCCTAAGGTCACGGACTGGAAAGCCAATTCTGATTAAGAGCCGCCTTACAGTTTACTCACGTCTCCCTTCTTGGTTTTAAAGTGGAAAACAACTCTCGAAGGGGAAAAAAACATAAGATCATATTCCAAAGAAACGAGTCACCTCAGCGTACCTTTGCTATTCCCTCCAGACTCCGAAGAAACTCCTCCAACTTAGCCTGGCCCAGCGGAAACTTTCGGCCATGATGTTTACGAAAAGTGGCAGCGAGGCGAGAAATCAGAAGAAATTTGCCTTCCTGAAGTTCCAAAAGCTCCACCACGTCTTTCTGTAAAGACTGCAGAGTGAGCCTGGGTGCGAGGGTCAGGTACCTTTCGCTGCAGATCTCCGTAATCTTAGACAGAAAAGATAACATTTAAGACAAGTTTAAAAGCTGATTATGTCGAGGTTTTTCACGATGAAATACAGGGAAGAGAGTATGAACATGGCGAAAAACAGAGTATTTCTAAAGGAAAACAAAACTAACGTGAATCTTCAACTTCTTGATCTGTAATATTTATCAACTGCAGACCTCAGATACCGTAAGAAGGAAGCTTAAATGAACAAATGCATTCAGGGATCCAGATGTCCTAGACACTTAAAGTGTAGTCGCGATTTTATGCTCTTCAAGCAACGCAAATCGAACCGCAAGAATTTAAAATTTTAGATACCGGGCAAGGGGTAACTATTATAATAGGAGGTCTAATTGTACTGGCAGCTTGAAGTTGAATCAAAATGTGAAGACGCAAGTTTCTCATACAGTTGTTAATAAATTTTTCAATAGCGTTGACGGACTAGTAATCAGAAGAGTTTATTTTGAAAAATATACAAATCAAAAAGGAAGGATAGGTAATAAATCACGTTTAATATAGAAGAGATGCATTAGACTTAATAACTCAAAGAGAGGCAAGGATGGGTAAACTTGAAGAATGGGTAAAATTGAAGAATGATGTTAACGGATTCCAAACACCATGGTCAATGGGTTCAAGACACTCCATCTACAACGTACACTTGTACCACTGCAAATATGGGTTTTAATGGCCAAGTGCGTGGTCTTTTGTGCGTTTACGAACCAAGACTCAGGCCAAGTCCATAAACACACAAAAAGAAGTGAGTTAATATCCAGTCATCTTGACCGAGTTTGGGCAGTAAAACATTTATTCTGTGGCACAAAGAACACCATTTTCTTGCGGAACACAGCGGCTTATCTTGCCCCGCTCGGGTAGCAGTGCAGGATCTGATTCATCTTGCTGCTCGCGGAGCTAGCCACGTTACACTTACCTGTAATGAACCTGAAGGTAAACCATCTATAAGGTCCTCAAGGCGTCGGGCGCCATAATCTCCGATCTTGAGAAGTCGGCCAAAATGCTGATAGTACCTAGCTAGTACTGTCGCAACAGGAACTCTCTGACCTTCGCAACTGGACAGCAGCTCTTTCAGTTCTTTAACAAGGGTCTGCTTTTCGCTACGTTTCTCTGGCTTGGAGCTCTTGTCTGTAGAGTGCAAAAGTAAAGGTTGCTCATAGAGCGGTTTTTCAAGCAAGTGTCATAAAACCAAAATCACTCTAGCAAATCACAAAGGACACAGACAATCCAGTGAACCAATCAAAACTCAACAGAAATAAAAGTAGTTGATGCAAAACTGAGTTGAACATTCTAGCAAAGTCAAAGTTGTACCTTTTCCTACTAAACAGATCAGTCGTTGATCCCCAGTCCCTTGGATCTAGGATACAAAGATAATCACAAACAACAAAAATCAAACACGTACTAGTTATGCAACAGTTCCATAGGAAGCGTGATGGCCACACGGTTAGTGTGCTTGACTCCGGATCGAGCGGTCCGGTTTCGAGCCCTGGCCGGGGACATTGTGTTGTGTTCTTGGGCATGACAATTTACTCTCACAGTGCCTCCCTCCACCCAGGTGTATAAATTGGTACCAGTGAACAAAATGCTGGGGGTACCCTGCGATGGACTAGCATCCCATCCAGGGGGGAGTAGAAATAATCCTCGTTGCTTCATGCTACTGAAAACTGAGATAAGTGCTGGCCTGGTGGACCTCTAGGCTCATATGCAGACTTTTTTTCTCGTGCAATGCTTTCCGGTGGTAAAACATGAAATATCCTACAAGCCAATTGGATTTTCTCGGTATACATATGAGCCTTTTAGGTACATATTTTCATTGGCTACGTTTTCTGTGGTATGGTACAAATTCCTGTACTGTACTAAGTGTGTAACATATAAAATTAATAATACATCTTATACAAAATTATAGTTTATCTAAGGATAAAGAAACAGAATGAGTGGAACCTTGGCAACTTTGGGTACAGCTTCAATCAGGTCTGTCAGCTTTGAAAATCCAAACGTTGCAATCTTGCACTTCTGACCAAAGCACTTCACGTAAGTTGACACAAAGTTTCCCAATGCAATCATTCCATCAGGTTGGCTATCGAGTAACATCTGAAGGTTTCTCTCGAAGGCTTTGAGTTTTAAGGGCTGTGAAAGAATAAGCCATCTCTCGGAGCCTTGTACTGCTACCTGTATTACAACCAAAAATATATAATTATATATTTACAGTAAGAAATAAACTTGATTGCAAAACACTCACATAGAGAGCTGTACATTCACTGTAAGAATACTTGTACTCCTTGTTAATCTTATCGTACTTTAATTTTCTGTTTCCAGGGTTGTGACTTACATGACTGGAGGTTGGGGGACTCAACAAACTTTAATGTGGGGAAAATCGGTCGCCAGGTCCAGAGAGACCCTTACCCATTCAAACATGTAGGTTGTGGATGAATCCCTTCCCTTTTATTTACTGTACCTCCAGCCTGTAACAAGTAGCCCTTGCCTGTATAGTCCAGCACAAGTGCCCCATCCTAGGTGGGTTTGCATGTAATATATCAAACATGAAAGAACATGTTTGACCACATTTCTAAACACCGAAAAGAGATTTAAAAAAATTACGTGCAGCGGAGTATTTTTGAAGAACTTCAAGGTGTTTGGAAACGTGGTCAAACACTGTCGCGTGATAGATATATCTTCTCGAAAACGAAGAAACGGAGCAATAAAATCGTAACAAGCTATGCTTATTAAGATCAGATATCCAAACATCACCACAGTCATGATTTTCTTTGTTTAAACTTGGCAAATAATTAATGAGTTTGAGAAGTACATGTCAGAATTTTCATAAAACAACTACTTGATCACGACAATTTTAAATAATGACTCAAAATAAACTGGCCAACCAAATTACAAAAAATATTGCATCCAAACAACATGTTCATGTAATATTTTACAAATATTCCACACCTACATGTACTGACCTGTGCTACAGCTGGCAAAGCTTCCAGTAAAGTCACAATAGAGGTGAATCCATATACAACAGGATCAAATGGAGTCTTCTTCCCAAACCACAACTGGTACTCAGAGATAACCGCACTAAGGGGAAGTTTAAATTCCTCCTGCGTCAGTAACAACTCATGTAGGTCTTTACTTAGTTCAAGAAGCTTCCCCACATTCCCTCCTGTTGAAAAAGGAAGACAAAGTTCTAAGCTAAAATATTGCTACAGCATGTGAACTCTGAAGTATGAACTTCATTAACTAATTTTTCCATACAGTTTACATGGCTATCAATTATCATGATGGACTTGGCAAGAAAAAATGTTTGTTAACAGTTTAAACAGCTATGTTTACCAGTTGTGCTTGGTGGATGTCAATTCATTTTGTTGTTGTTTTTTCGTTTTAGGGTCATGGTTGTTGCATAAATAACTTTAACTTGTCTACTAGTAGGCCCTTACCAAGAGTGCTTGTAAAAAAAGCGTTAAATGCTTAAAGCAGTGCTTGTTTTTTTGGCAAAAAAGTGCTAAAATAATGCTAATTTTTTTAAAAAGTGCTCGTGGGTTAAATAAAAATGCTCACGTTTTTCGGATTTTTTTAAACATAGAATATTACATTTTTAAGATTTTCAGTTACATTTTTCAACAACAAAATGTAACAATCAATGTTTTTTTTTTTCATTAGTCCAACACAACGTTTAAGGTTTTCTATAAAGCCTTGGCTGGCTGACTTCCATTGTTACTCAATGACAACATGGATGACGCCATCTTGGAACGAGTGTGATGGACTGGATTTCTAGAAGGCAACCGCTGACCTATCAAACCTATTCCTCAGGCCTCCTCAGCTCCTTTGACTAAAATGAGGGCAAAATGCATCTGGGAGGCTTTGGACGCCATAAATAAAGTCAGATTGTGCTTTGTAACACAAAATTATACAAATAATCAGTTGAAAATCCAAAATAATGCTAGCAGTGCTTTTTGGGATAAAATGTAAAAAAAAAAATGCTAGCGAAGCCAAATAATGCCAAAAAGAGTGCTAGCACTATTGGCAAGACCCTATCTACTAGCGCATGCTCCTTTCTCAAACAGTGGCTAGTAATCAAGCCAATTCTATTTTATTGTGATGTCTTTTAGGAGTCAAATATAGCCTGAGCCATGCCCATATTGGTCTCCTCTAAGGGCTTCACCTGGGGGGGGG